CTACTAAGGTGTACACGCCCATTCACGCAAATTATTGCTTTTTCTGTAGAAAATGACACGCCCAATCGAATGAGACTACGATCAGCCCGATAGGACATATCGTTTTCGAGATATCGGCGCTCAAAGTCAGCTCTCCGCTTTTAATGCCAATATTTGCATTCCGGTAGGCTACTACGTCTCTATTTCCCTGAATTTCCTGATTTAAACCACAGATTAGTTCATTTCGACAACGAATTAGTCTATGTGAATTTTTTCAGATTTTTAATAGGCCAAATAAAAATTTTCATTTTCCCACCTGAGACTTCATCAGTACGATATAGTCACCGAGCTATCATCGGATGGCCGAAAATGCCAGAAAATGGCGGGAATTTACGCAAATTATCGCTTTTTCGGTAGATAATGACACGCCTAATCGAATGAGACTACGATCAGCCCGATAGGACAGATTGTTTTCGAAATATCGGCGCTCAAAGTCAGCTTTCCGCCACTTCGTCTCCATTTTCTAAAATTTCCCAGTTTCAACCACAGATTCGTTTATTTCGACATCGAATTGATCTATGTGAATTTTTCAAGATTTTTAATAGGCCAAAAAAAACTTTTCATTTTCCTACCTGAGACATCAGTACGATAATTATACAGTATGATGCAAATGTATGGAATAAATTCATTTCAAAACAAGACGACTTCCGAAAAAAATCCAAAAACTAGACTTCAGAACTTTATTAATTGATGTATTTCTTCAAATAGACGACCCTTCGTTGTTCAATTCTCAGTAGCAGACCTCTGCAAGATTCAGTTAATCAGATGATAATACATTTTAATTTCAAGTTTCTTATGCAAAATTTTGACTGTTGAATAGACGATCAGTAGACCTTTCAAACGAGGAGTCACGTGACCCCTGTTTTCATTCGAAAAAATCGTTCATTACGTCATTACTCCAACACCGGTGACGTAACATCCCTCATATGGATATCATGAGATGAGGCTTCAAAAATGAAACCTCATGTGTTTTTGGAATTTTTTAAAATGTCGCCCATTTCTGAAATAATGAATTTTTTATTCCATACATATGCATCATACTGTATATTTGAATAACACACCTAGAGCGAGCGTTTTCAGTTATTCAAGTTTTTGATAACAATGATGAGGTGTTTCGAAAAATTATCGAAGTAAGAAAAGATTTAGAATTGAATTGCCCACAAAACAAAGCTAGGATGTTTGAAATCCATCAAGGGTTTACAAAATTCTGTTGAATATTAATGGTGCACCACCTGGTATACCCCCTATACAAATTTCAATTGAACTCTAGTTACTGTCAAGTAACGCTCCAGATACATCCACAAAGGGTACCAAATTTGGTTGCTTCAAGTTCAAGAATTTTTAGAATCACCCTGTATATTATATAGAATACTTAATATTTCTGAAGTTTTCAATCGGATTTCAACACATGGCATCTAGCCGTTTGAAAGTTACCGTGGCAATATTGATGATTTTAGCACAAAAAAATCGACCGAAAAATTCTTAAAAATTTTGAAATTGGAAGGCTGATTCTATATAAGAAATGAACAAAAAGAGTCCACTCGCCTATTGATTGGTTTGATTTGATCACTTGAGATATTTTCAATTGAGGTATTTTTAATCGGTTTTGTCCAAATTGCTCTCCTCCAGAAGGTATACAGGGTGGTCCGGTTTGTAATACGAAAAATTCAACAGTGTGTTGTACTCGTTGAAATAATAAGAGAAATTCTTATAAACATATACTTTTAAACGCGTCCTTTTCGAGATATCGGAAGTTGAAAATACGAGTCTGAGTATTGTTTTTTGATGAAAAGTTCGAAACGGATTGTGGAAAATCAACAAAATTTAAGTTTTTGGTATTACAAACCGGGCCACCCTGTATAATAATGATTATTATGTCTATGCCCATGGTGCCTTTCATCCCTATTGACATATCCTTCTGATGGATAATTAAAATGTGAATTAATTGATTGGACATTGATCAAATAGTAAAGGGCTCTTCTGAAAAGCCTTCTCGAGAAAGCGAAAATACGAAGGGAGGGAGGAAGTTCCAAATCAGGACTATTCAGGATGAATGTGTGGAGGATATTTACCAAGCATTTTAGGAGAATCAAAAATTTTATTCGAAATTATTGGACGGACTCGATAAAGGAGGTGGATTTATGATTATTCCTAAACCAAATAAAATCACCTATAATCTATAACCCCAATAATTACAAAAATATATCTGACGACTAGTCATGCCTGCATTCAACCATCGACTTTTATCATCATTATCATTATTTCAGTTGGTATTTGAGCAAACACATGAATGAGAAGAAATCTAATGAGAATCGTTTTGTCAGAGAAACATAATCAACAAAAATCACAGAAAAGCGAATCAATCTATTATACCAGTGATTATTACATATTTCTGAAAACCCTGAATCTCATTGTTCTAATTATCAAGGTACTGGATTTTCTGTATATTCCTTATTACTTATTTCTATAAACAAACTTCAAATCACAAGAATCCGAAAGTGTCACATAAACTTGAACAATTTTATGAATTCAATTGTTTGATTCATTAATAAATTCAGTTAAATTCAAACATTACTTCAACTTTCGATATTTCTTGCTACTTTCTAATCTAAAATGAGAAAGAATCGTGATCGGATGATGTGAAATACATAAACAGATACGTGGGCATATCAGACCCATTTCGACTCAATCACATAAAATGGAATGTTTAGTATGGACATAGGTAGTTTATTTACACTATATTTTAATCGATTTGATCGATCATAAAACTTAAACGATTAATTAAGTACAATAATTATAGACCGCCGGAACATCAAAACATAATGTATACTTTGTTGATGGCGTGTTTATTCACATCAACAGATCATTCACATTACGAGAGGACTTCAGATCATGTGTGAGTTGTTACTGACTCCACACGCCACCTTATAAGCAGCACTGTTGATTTGAAGGCGTCTGCCAAATATAAGTAGATCATAGATTATCGACTCATTTATGTATGTATAAATATTATATCAATATGAATACATGTGGAATACACATAAAACTTTTGAAGGGATATCAGTAAAACTCGTGCTGACAGGTAAACTAGTAAGCACGTTATTATTCTTGAAAGAAAACTATTGATGAATATTTTTGACTAGACATATTATCAATAAGTACTCATTTTTTGTGATTCAAATGTAAGAGTAATAATGAAGATCCATCACAGTAGTAGTTTGTAATGAAGAAACCACATTATTAGATGATTATTGCACAATTCTTGCAAAACCCATGCCAGAGTTTTTATAAAATCAATTTTATGTACACGATATTGCTTCTGAAGTAGCAACTAGTTTGTATTCAAAGTCAACGCTTTCTCAACAAAATTACATTTCGAAATATTATAAATTCCAAAGAGATTCGATACTTATATTTCAGAATCTCATTTTATTTGCGTCAGAATCATGATTTTGTAAAACGAAAAAATGGGTGAATAAATATTTCCTATACTCGCATCAAATATTGGAGTGATCCCATTCGGTCCAAAAGTCTTTCTTCCGGTCAGTGAGCCATTCATCACTCTGTAAAATATTCATTCGCCAATTATTTCGTTTTTTGAATTCAAAGTTTCTGAGGATAAAACAAATTTGCTTTTGAAAAAACTGAATTCGAATCGGTTGATTTTTTTTGAAAGTAATTTAACGAATCTGAGTGAAAAATTCAGATGTCCTACTTCAATTGCGGGGCACTATACAGGGTTTCCGGAAAGGTCAAGTGGATAATGAAGCTGGTAGCGTGAGCCAAAATATTGTCAGTACTTCATATAAAAAACTTGCTATCGTACTCCGTTACAGAGTTATTGACCTTAGAAGTTTGAACATAATCACTGAACAGCCGTTCACATGTCGAAAGGAGCATGAGTATGACTTGATTTAGTTGCTCGAATGTCATTGATACCATGGCAACCGTTCAAAACTTATACATGAAATATCTTTTTTTATTCAAACTTTCAAGGTTAACTCCGTAACGAAGTGCGAAAAAGATTTGTTTTATATGAAATACTAACATTATTTTGGTAAACTCTATCTTTTACAACATGGCTTTTCCGGACACCCTGTATTATGATAATTGAACCTATTATTGAGTTGCATGAATGGTTTCGATTCGAAAGTAAAAAGGAAGAAAGAAATCTTGATGTCGTTCCTTTTCACCGTGATGATGTCATTGCTGGATTGTCGTAAGCGTAATCCAGCGTACTATCTTCAGCTGGACGTCTACTGATAGACGTTGTCACTGTTACAGGACTATGGTCTGAATGAGAAACAGGTGTGGGCATCTCCAGTCTCAAGTCTCCCTTTTTACCATCAGCCAGGGTAAGAGCATTATTAGTTCTAGCAGCATTACTATTGTCTTGAGGTGATGACTGCAACAGAAATGGTGGATTTCAGTATTCTTATATTCAAATTCAAAATAATGTATTTCATATAGTGCTTTTCGTCAGAAAATCAGAATTTATTTTTGAAGAGTTTCTTTTCCTCTGTTTTGAATGCCGCTGTTTCAAAATTACCTCAAGGTTGGTAGATTTGATGATAATTTGGATAATTTGATAGGAAGGTTGCCTCGATCTATACCTCTGTCTGATACCTTGAATTTTTGAAATGAGAAAGAAATTTTGGATGGATCAGCAGGCCAGAGTGGAATACCTATCTGAAATTTCGTCCCAGGCTAAGTACCAGGTATGTGTGTTTTGAGCTGCATGATTATGGAACTAGAGAATGCAGTGAGTATTATGTACCTATGCATCCTATAAATACCCTTCAAATCAGATAAAGTGAACAAGAAATTACGAAAGATACCAGGGTGGAGACCAGGGTACTAATCAAGAAGCACCATTCTAGTGAAAATACGTTTCATGAGTTAAATATAGATATGGATATTATTCATTTATCTATTTCATCACATTTTTCAAAATTACACATAGTATATACATTGTTGATGGCTTTTGTTGTGTTATAGTCCCGAAAAATGAGCTAATAACTCCGAGAAAGAACTGCAAGTCCTCTTATCTTTCATTCGACTTCGCGGTTACGTAAATTACTATAACCCTTTGAGGCCTGAATTTATTTACTCGCTATATTTCAATAACTAATAGCATAAATTCATTAATTTATATGCATGTCATTTCATTTTCAGATCTTCGCTGAAGGCTTCAGGACGTGTCCTCGGCTTGAAGACACTAGGAAATAAAACATCGTTGAAATCACACAAGATGAATTTTCAGTTTCTCATTTCAGACGAGATTGACGTAGTGGACGAGCGTCCGACTTATGATCGCGAGGTCGCGAGGTCGGTTCGAATCCCAGGAAGGGCAAGGCATCTTTTCAATATTCAAGTCACAAAATGAATATTGTTGAGTTTCACTGCATCGGCTCGGGATAGTTCTGTACGATTCACTGTTGCGTCCCAATTGACAGTGCTATTTCTAAGGTGGTGTATGGAGTTAGTAACAAAGCATGCACAGAATACACAATTCAGAACACTTTTGGACTGAAGAACCTCAATGGAGGTCGATGGCTAATTGGTAATGTACACACATACCAACAAAGTACATATACTACTACTATTTCATTTACTAAAATAAATAAAATTATTCTCTGGTGCAATTTCTGTTTTTGTCCTACTATATGACATTCTCCAATGAGTTTTTCACCCTTTTGCGAAAAAAAACTTACCTGCCATATCGAAATACCCGAAAAATTATAATGAATCAGTACATTAGCAAATGCCCAATGAAACCACGTTCATTAGTCTAAAATAAATGTCTCCTTTTGCGAATAAGCGGGATAGTAGGCGTTGCTATTAGGAGAATAGGCATTTACGCATGTTCTTCAATATGTGGCTACAATATGGATACTCTAGGCGACTGAGTAAAAATGATTAGTGTTTTGTCTCCATGGCGCGATCACTAGTACTTAACCCAGTCAACACACGGACATTAGATGGATATCCACTGGACATTCATTTCGGATATTGAGGATATCCAGAGGTCATCCGTTGATATCCGGTGAATATTTTATGGACATACGATGGATGGTACGAGTGGACGAAGCTGGACTTCCATAAGATATCCTTCTGGCCAACGCAGTCAATAAAGATCTTGCGGAGATCATAATAATCTGGGAAACCAACAACCTAGTTGAATTCAACGCCACCAAAAGTCAAGCCTGTATTTCTCTAGAAAGGCGGAACTCAGTATGCCTAATATAACAATTTTTGGTCCAACCATTCCCACCAAGACCACTATATCTATGCATGGTATAACCAGCAATACTTTTTCATGGGAAAATTATGTCCGACACATCGCAAAAGATGCTTCACAAAAATTTCCTTTCGTGCGTTCCAAGAGATAAAAAAAAAGTAATTTGATGAAGGATGTAAAGATTGAGGTTTTTCTCGATATTCCCGAATCACTCTGTAGAGTAATAGATGATTATTACCTTTTTTTTCAATATCTTCTGTTTCAAGGAAGCCAAAGTGATATTTTTCTTATCCTTCCATCTGTAGAATTGAAAACATAGGAAGCTAGCCAAGACTACCAGCATAAAACATACGAGAGTCAGTGTTACTGTCACCATCTGAGACAATCTGTCGACTGTATCTGCAAAATATAAATTATTGGATAATGAAAGAGATCAAAAGTTCAAGCGGAAAGAAATAGATATTTTAGTACCAAGTGCTTTATATAAATTCTAACTCCCGGAGGGTAACATTAACATGAGCCATGAGGCCCTTTGACCCAAGGGATGAATGCTGGCCAATGGGCGGTAGGATCTAGTAACGCTCGTGGTGCATACAAGATTTTATTTTTCACGATAAAATTATCTCATTATAATGAAAAATCGATTCTAGAATGCGGTTAATCATTGCTCCTAGAATTTTTTTCCACTTTTCTTCCTATGGTAAGCACATGGTATTTGTTGATATTTTGACGTTTGTTGAATGTTGCTGTCGTCATTCAATTCAGTGAATGCCATCGCTGCCAGAAATAACGGAAATGGATACGAATTTATCCATTGCAGACAAGATTCCGATTAATTTATTGCCGGAGGAATCCAGACTCGTGGATTATGAAGTTTTGAAAACAATGGAAGTTGAAAATTGAAATAATTGCCTTATATAAGACCGTGTTATTGTCGTACTTTCGATAAAAGGATCTATTCAATTTCATGATCTACAGAAAAAACAATGAGCGGGCGTTATGATTCATAATGCCCTCCATAACGCCCTGGGCGTTATGGGTCTGTTAATAGCAACCCTTGCCAAGGTATTGCAAAACAGTAATGAACAAGTGAAAAATTAAATAACTTTCAAACTAATGATGTATTTAGGAAATGAAGAGTCGCATTTCACAAGTTTTTCATAGCAAAATGACTTGAAGAGCTCTCATTCATGAAGTTACTTTATTGCGATATCTTGAAAGACATACTTCATAACAGTATATCAAATTCAATAGAAAAAATCGAAGCTTCCATAGTTCATGTTACACTACTAGTAGTTAAAAGTACTCACTTCTCAGGTCACCTCTGTTATCACTGCTTCCGTCTTTAGGGACATATCGTAAATCATGTAAATAATCTGAAAATTGAAAACATCATTGATTTCCTTCTAAGTTAGGGTTTTATTGATTATAATTCAGTAGATCATTATGATGCTGTTGAGCAATTGATTATACATATTCACATGAACATTTTGCGATTCATCAAATATGCTCACTAGAGGGCACAATCTCACATTTCAGGATTTTGTTTTCATCTCTCGGTTTCCCTTAATATCACATCAACTTCCGATTTTTAAATGGAATACCCTGTATTTTCTTTCATAATCGGTGAGGGATTGTGGAATTCAACGATACCTGGTTCGATTGGGTTATTTCAACCGGTTACGAAGCTATTCTCGTTTGAAGTTTCCATATGATCAATGGGTGTGACGGCGCAATATCGAAAATTCTATCTCTCTTACACTCATTGATCATACGGTAAGTTCGAACGCGAATATCTCCGTTATCATTTGGAATAACCCAATCAAACACTGAAACCCTGTATCGTTTAATTTGTTACAATAATCTCTATCCAATTATGGAATGAAATGGGGTGTTTCATCTGGAAATTGAAAGTTGATATCATTTCAGGAAAACTGGAAGATGAAAAAGTATTCCTAAGATGTGTGAAAGTTCCCTCTATTTCAGTAAAATAGCAGAAGAAACGAAGGAGGAAAGGGGACTGTCTCACCCTCTTACGAGAGACGCGATTGATATAGGGTTGTCCAAAAAAAACCGGAATTTTGTTTATGTCTGATAACTTTTTCATTTATTGGCCGATTTGATTGATTTTGGTCTTGTTCGAGAGAGAATTGATCAAGGCAGTCCGCTGATAGCAAATGTTTCATATTCGTTCAAAAAACAAAATGGCGGAGTCACCTAAACTTGGTAGAATTTGAAAACTTGCTGGAACTTTTTTAAGTCGCACTGTATATCGTTTCGTGTAAGAATCTGGAAGTTTGGACATTTCTGAATAGAACAAGATGTCGAACATGATAATCCGTCGAAAAATACCTGATATATGACAGAATATAGACATGTATGTTTTGGAACTTTTATGCTCATTTTCATTCGTTATTTCCAAGATCCACCTCATTTATGATTTTCAAAGTCTTCAAAATCATGATAATTTTGAGTCAAGTGGTATAAAAAGCATAAATTACGATTCCTTCATGGAATTCAACTCAATACAATCATTTTCAAACAAAGTCAATTCAAGAGCTGTCAATAATTACAAATAACAAGAATCAACAACACAAAAAGCGATGATTGACATACGCCGCCTCGATTTCAATGAAAAATTGGTAACAAAATGTGAAAACATACATGTCTATATCCTGTCATATATCAGGTATTTTTCGACGGATTATCATGTTCGACATCTTGTTCTATTCAGAAATGTCCAAACTTCCAGATTCTCACACGAAACGATATACAGTGCGACTTAAAAAAGTTCCAGCAAGTTTTCAAATTGTACCAAGTTTAGGTGACTCCGCCATTTTGTTTTTTGAACGAATATGAAAAATTCGCTATCAACGGACTGCCTTGATCAATTCTCTTTCGAACAAGACCAAAATCAATAAAATTGGCCAATAAATGAAAAAGTTGTCAGACAAAAACAAAATTCCGGTTTTTTTTGGATAACCCTATATATTACGGAAGATGTAAAAACAATTCTATCAACATTTTGTTCCATGAATACTTCCTGAGAACGCTCATTAGTATCAAAATTATTTGCATGCTACTGTGTAACAGGGTGATTGATTATATTTCACTCGATGGCTATCTAGAAAATGCAAAAAGCATGACCATTTTACATGAACTGGTATTTTTCACATGGAACACTGTATTTCATTTTCCCTATCGGTAGAGCTCTTTCTTCTGATTTCAAATATTACTTCATTGGGGTTTTCTTCGTCAGTTCTCGAAAAATATGGATTCTGAGGCAAAGGCAGCTGTAAAACGCCAGAATTCGCAGTATTGTCGTCTGGCATTCTATATTCTTGCACTAGATTTATACCAAGGAGATCTACCTATATTTTTCAAAAACTGACAAAAGATGCATTCAATGAAGTTTAATATATTCGAAATCGGAAGAAAGAGCTCTATCGTTTAGGAGAATGAAATACAGGGTGTTCCATCAAAAAAATACCAGCTTATGTATAATTCTCAGGTTTACGATGTTTTTTTGCATTTACACTGAATTCTGTATGCCTATAAAAAATACTTCATATTTGCTCTTTTGAACGTTTTCGTGAGGCCAATATTATCTAAGGTTGGTACTGATTCAAATATAAACAATCACGCTGTACATTTTAGGACAGTCCTTCATTTTTATTTGTATATAAACATTGGAATGTCACTTATCACACATTCATATAAAGATTGATGATAGAAACTGTAGATTTAGTTTCCTTCATGACCTTCACCAATCACAATCAAGTCCTCCTACAAATGAATCATCAGTTATGTTCGAATAATAATAACTATTCCACATGATCTATATGATTGAATACGCATAATTATAATCCTCTGGAATTTTAAATTATCTACTCCCTATAATCCAACGATGACATTTTTGCAAATGGGTACTTACCTTGACATTTATTTTCGCAGATTATTTCTTCGTAGTTATGGCTACTTTTGTTACAAGCGATCGAACAGGGAGCACAGGTTCCATCAGTGGGGGAACAATACTCCGTCATTTTGCACTGCCTTTGTCCGCATTTTGGACCCGCTAGGGTTAGTTGGCTTGCCGCAAAATGGGACAAGGAGAAAACCATCAGAAATACACATTCGAACCACATTTTTCGGTGATTTAACAGTTTGTGATGTATTGGAATAGCTCCGACGCGTCATCACATTGTTTAAAGATAAAGGTGCGCAGAGACGCAACAGGTGGGTTATCTGGCCAACTTGACTATGTAACTCCGGTTGTTTCTACCTGTATGAGTCACTTTGCGATAGTCCTGGAAATAACCTGTATTGTAACGGAGAATAAGGCTCAATATTACGCGCTCAGTATGGACTTCTTGGTTGACCGCACCTGGAGGGAATACAAGTCTACAAATTAATTACCTACGTGTGGTTATGCTATGTTGCCTGGTAGTGGTTTTATATATCATTTGCGATTATATTTTAATCGGTTTCGAATGGATTGAACAGAAAATAACACTGTGCTTTCTTTTTCTTATCAAAAATGATTCACCGAGTAGTTTAGTCAGTTCATTGAAGATATTTAATCGGATATAATATATACATTTAATCAATAATCAATAGTACCATCAAATTTGTATGACACCCATGCATACAGAGTCTGTGCTTATGTATTACTTGAAATAGTTTCAAGAACGAGCCTGCATCATGCAAGAAAATAGACAGTTGTTCGCCGAGGTACATACATTTTGATATCGAATTTTTCCTTCGACCTCGAACACTAACTTATATTCACATACCACGGTCTTATTCACACGTAAAATCTATCGGATTTCGTACATAGCTATCCAGGAAGAATCTGAAAATGTAATGAAATACAGGGTGTTCCATTTGAAAAAACTAACTTGCTGCTACTTCCTAGGAGAAGCGGCCACGCCGCATCGTTTAAAATATTTTAGACGTGTAGATAACATCAATTTATTCTAACCATCAAATTTTCAGATTCATCTGTTGCTTCGTTTGGCAGGAACGTGTAATTAACTCTCATCGTGAAAAACCCTGTATAAACTAGACTAGATAATGTAGGTTTTCATGATTTCTTGGACATAAATAGGGCATGAACCACGCCTCCCATTATCAATCAAATCCATTCGGGCAAAGTCATTGGAATCCAAATTCTATTATGCAACAGATTGACCCAATTGTCTATTTTGGTTTTTCGCAATATGGTCATTCATTCGTGGGCAGTGCCTATTGAAGTTGAATGATATACGAATAATTGCATTATCCTAAATGAAATGTGTAATTACTCATCAATATAATCAATCAGCAATGGAACTGTGACCCAAAAATTATGAATTTCTATCTAATATATAAAATTATTCTGTCGTAGTCACGGTGTTAGTGGCCAAACTCTTCCGAAACGGCTCGACCGATTCGTATGGAAATTTTTGTGCATATTCGGTAAGTATGAAATTCGGTCGTAATCTATTCTCTAAATCGAAAATTCAAGATGGCGGATTCAATATGGCGAGAGAGCTTTGAAATAAATTGTAGTTTGAGAGACTATAAAGAAACAAGCTTTCATCAAAATCAAATCGAATCAAATCCAAACTAGTAAATTCAAAATCGCGGATCCAATATGGCGGACTAATTTTTCAATTATTATGGTCCAATTCTATTCGAAATTGGTATCTGGGGGTTCTCTGAGTCAGAGATTATGATTTATTCGTCAAAATTAGTATTGATCGACTCAATTCAAAACAGGTATCTGAACACAGAGAAAAACAATTCTTTGAATTTAACAAGTATTGTTAAATTCAAAGAAATCCGAAGTTTGAATAGGTCCAACAAACAAGCTTGGTTGAATCAAAGTTTCCATTCTTTTAATTTTTCAAATAAGTGATTTTTTTGTATCTATATAATTTATTGGAAATGATATGTTTTATAATTTGAAAGAAAGTGTATATTTGTTTGAATCAAAACTATTTCTTTGGATTTATGATCAGAATTATTCATGGTGAATAAGTTTAATTTGCATCAAAGAAATGAAAGCTTGAGGGAAACAAGGAAATTATTTGGAAGAAATAAATAATTATTTGTGAAGAATAAATATATGTAAATGAAATTTGTATCAAAGAAATCAGACCTTGACAGAAACAAGAACATTCTTTGGAAGAAACAATTGATAATTTGTGAAAAATAAATATATGTAAATGTAATTTGATTCAAAGATGTCAATGCTTGAGAAAAACAAGGAAATTGTTTGGAAGAAACAAGCTCAAATAATGGATTTCCTTACCAGAAATAAATTGTAGATTTGAACGAAATCAAAAATTAATAAACTCAAAGAAATAGAATCTTCCTAAGAAGAAATTCATTTCTTAGAAAACAATACTCCTCTTGGAAGGAATTGAGAATTAACAACAAAATTGAACTATAACAAACTTTATTGAATAATAGAAAAAATGTGACAGACACACTGTTTGGGTTCGATACTATACATAAGTCAAGATACATGATGATCCTGAAGCAGGTTGATCGCTGTTTTTTGTATCCAACCTCAAATATTTGGCTCTATCATCCGGTGCATCAGCATCAATAAAAATGTTTTCGGAAATCACTGGAGTATTCACATCAATGACAGACGTAGCAGATTTCTCATTGCTCTCCTGAAAGTTTAGTATATTTTAATGCGGAAATACATGAATTATATGCATAACATGGAAATCAAAATTCCATAACATTGATGTGCATTTTGATGACAATTTTTTATATGAAGAAAAGAGCTGTGATAATTCTTGTTCTAGTGATTATTTTCTCTACATAGTTACATGATATATCAAAATACTCATACAGGGTATATCTGAATAACACCGAAAAAAGTCAAGGGGTGATTCCTGAAGATGCTAATATAGAATCAGAACATTTAACAAAGTATTTATCATTTGTTTCATGGAAACAAATATTTTGTTTCAAGTGAAGCTGGTGACATTTGAATGAAAAAAATATTTATTTGACTGCATGGAATCTTACATTGAAAATCATAGAAGAATTTGAACGCCATTTCACTGGAATATTTCAATATACAGCAGATTAGAAAGTATACTAATCTACGAAATATCGCACATACCTACCTACCTATTCGTACATCCTTCTATGACCTAACAAATTGCACGGTTTGTTTTTTTGATGGGGATCGGTATGGAAACATCAGGAAATCAACAAATCATAAAAAATTTCACGCCATTATTTCGATTTTCAAGTATGAATTACAATTTCTTACCTCTGAAAATGGGGACCAGATGACCCAAATGCCATTCTTCTGAAAAATCCATCACTACACATTAAGAGAATAGTGAAAATCTGTAAATATGCTGTGGAATTGACTATACTAAATCACCGCTGTACGATACGACCCGGCGAACCACATCAGAGATACAAAACGAACTCCATAATGTATTTTCAATAAGCATTTATTCGAGGTGAATGACACACTCGCTCTGTTCAAATGATATTTTTTAAATACAAACTTTTTGTTTGTGCATGACAACTATATCAATTGGTCATATTTATATCAAGATTAATTTTTGCCAACAATGTGATATTTCTGTTCAAAATAATATTTATTTGCTTCAAGTAACATTTATTCCTTTGAAATAAATATATTTTCAACAAATGCTATTGTTTCACCCAAACAAATGTCATTCAAATGAACCGATAATTTCAAAGAAAGAAGTTGATTTGGTTTTAAGAAATAACAATTGTTTCTCGCAAATAACATTTATTTCTTGCAAACAAATATAAGTCAAACAAATGAGATTGTTTCACGCAAAGAAACGTTTTTCTCTGTGAAGGTTTTCGGAATCGGAGATTATGATTTGATTTGGAATCCACAAGGGTTATTTTATCGATAATGGCGCTTCCCTTAAACCCAATGACAATTTTCTTCAACCACCTGTTTGATCAGAAGTAGACTCAACTTTTTTTCTTCAAATGGCACCCTTTATATTTCTATAGCCTTTCTTATTCGCCTCAAAATTCTCAATCCAACTATGTATCACAATTTGATAAGCGAAATAATACTGAATATACACTAATGTAGACTTATGAACTGATGTATTTGGACGATAGATACATCAATTATTACAACTATTACAGTTTCATGTATCCAAATGGATTATCATATTATGACAACATGGCAAGAATGAAAGACAAAAAGTTTCTTCACAAGTAGCCAAGTGAAAGAAACTGAGTTCCTATCTTAGTTTTTTGAATATCGCGTGAGTTATTTTCGGATGCTGTTTTTAAACTCAATGAAATCATTGGCAATCTTCTGGGACCGATTAGGGTATGGAAAATGTTCTGATAATATCGTCTAAGTAATGATCTTTGGATTTCTTCATGTATTTCGATAAAATGCAATTTAACAGGCAATCAATGAACAAATATCAAATTGTGATACATAGTTGAATAGAAAATTTCGAGGAGAATAAGATAGGCTAAAAAAATATACAGGATGCCATTTGAAAAAAAAAGTTGGGTCTACTTCCAATCAAACAGGTGGTTGAAAAAAATTTGTCATTGAGTTCAAGGGAAGCGCCATCATTGATAATATAATCCTTGTGAATTTGAAAATTCCATTTCTTTAAATTGAAAAACTACAGGCTGTTACATGTCTCCTGTGTCACCCGGTATAGTGCGTTATACTCAACTAAATCGGAAATATTTGTTTTCAAGTTTAATTTGAATTCGACACTATCAATACATTTGATTTTAGATAACAAATTTGTTATTCAATGTCTTCTACATTCAAGTAATGAAAACGAGTTATACCTAGGTGCCAAATCCTATTTGACATCTACGCAGAATGGGTCGTAGAGTTCATCGAATCAGGGGCGGCGAGTTTTGTTTTGCCCAATGGGTGCCAAAATGGAGGGGTTAGGGCAAGCCAACAAAAAATGCGCCGCAGGCGAAAATTTTTTATGGCTCAAGGTCAAATGCCTTCAAATTTGAAGATAGCTTGATGCAATATTGATTCTGCATTACGTGTGAAACACCCCTACTAGAATATAATGTTTTTTGACTAATCGGGTTTCGGGTCTGTTGTTAATATCAACATAAACAAAGGTACATCTTCGTTTCGGCCAATGGGTGCATTGCACCCATACCTATGGTCTACATGGGTGCATTGGCCCCGATGCCCCCATGCACTCGCCGCCCCTGCATCGAATCATATCAAAAGCAACTCCAATTTATGAAATTTTCTGACTCTCCCACGCAGCATTCTGCTGCTAGGGAGATTATAACTGAAAATTCACCTTCAATATTTTCCTTATGTATAATTTCAATTTCTTATAATGAGCTTTTGAGCTCAATAGCAGAGACTGTCTTCAATTCGATGACCGAA